GGGGGGGGGGGGGGGGTACACTTTAAATGAAAGTGGATCAAGGTAAAATATTTGTATACAAATGTTGGTCCTTTATTCTTAGTCCTGTTTTTTTACGATTATTCTTTTCCTGCAACATTTGCTTTAGTTTGTTGACAGATCTTTGTTATAACACCCTTTTCAGCGTTAGATTATCTGGTGTAATCAGTGTTTTTTGTTGGTCAAGCAGGAGGTGGGTCTATGACACTATCAATTTTAAAAGATTGTGTTCAGGAAACAATGGTGTTTATAGAGTTTCTTCTCACTGGGGAAGCTGGTTTCTAAAAACAATTCCATGTGAACACAAGGATGAAAGGATTAAAAACCTTTGTATATTCACAGAACAGTCTTCCTGTGTGGACAGGTTCTAAAGTCTGTTCAGTACTTCATTAGATGCTGACAGACAAATGAACAATCAGAGACACACAGCTGCATGACTGCTAACCTTTCATGGTGGTGGGTAAACCCCAGAAAGTTTAAAAATAAAGTTGTGAACAATGGCTGAGAATGTTGTTTTAAGTGTAATGGTGCCAGTGAGGCTGCAGCTTTCAAAATAAAAAGATAAAAAAGGTTTTAGCTTAGATTTTTGAATCTATTTTTCATTACTTGGCCTTTAATTAACTCAGATTAAATACAGTTTCTTTCAAGGTTTGAATTCTCTGTAACAGTCCAACTAAAAAACTGGAGCTTTGTGACATTAGATACCAGCACAAATATACTGTATATGAATGGTGTTGTGGTGTTGATTTCCTTTGATCGTCATTTCATCTTATTATAAACACAGGTGTGAAAACTGGTTGATAGCAAAAACCACACATGCTAAACAAATAAAACTTGCCCACATTTACATCCCCTCTGTCTTAGGCTCTTTTTCCATGGTGTAGTGTCGGACCGGTTGGTTTTCCACTGATATTCCAGTCCGGTTCCAATGGGTGTGTTTTGCGCGGTTGGTGGAGGTGGTTTTTAGGTATTTTGAAAAAGAATTAATGGGCAAAATGAGAGATGGAAACACATTTGATGATGAACTTTTGAAATTTTAAAAATTTGCAAAATTTTCAAATTAAAATTGGATGGAATCACGAAAATGGCTCCTTGAGTTGTTCTTGTAAAGGTAGCTTAGATGCAACCAGTGACTCCACCCTCTAGCCAATCAGTGACGAACGGTGTTCTGATGTTGCATTTTGTTGTCAGCTAGGGCTGCTTGGAACCACAATGAGAAAGGTACTGAAAAAAGGGCTGGTTCCATGAATCTGGCCTAATGGAAGTGGCTTGGAACAGGACCAAACCGTACCGACACTACAGTTAGAGCTACTGGTACTTATTGCAAAGTATGAAATAAAGCATATGAACCTGATCCTGAACTATATCAATGTTTGAAAGAGTTAAATTCAGTAGTTTTTGTATTTCGCTATAGTGCTTAATAAAGAAAGTTTTCAGGACGAAATACAACCATGAAAAATTTTTTTGAAAATCAAAAATATTTATTATAAAAAAACTTTTATAAGTTTCAAATACTAGTTTTATCTTAAAACCTTTTCACTGAAAGCATACAAAAAACACTTACATGCATCATTCTGGTATTCTTAATGCACCAGTAAGATCATCAACATAAGATGTAACAAGTTTTATCCCAAAACTTCTAAAATTTGTTTGACAATTCAACCTACAGAACTAGCACTGTAAGGCTTTTTTTCTTATAGGTGTTTTGTTTTTATTTAACAGATGTAACATTGATTAGATGCATCACCTAACACAGGAAGTTCACAGGCTTAAAATTCAGCTGCAGTCTTTTAAGAGTAGTTTATGTTCTTCCTGCATGTGGGGGTGTTTCTGCAGCTGCTCTGGTTTCCTCCCTTGGAACAAAAATATGCATGTTTGTTTACTGTTTCTGTAAATTATTCTCATGTGGGTGGGAGGGTGAATGCTTGTTTGTCTCTACGTGTCCCTGGGGTGTCCCCCGTCTCTCAGCCAATGACTGCTGAAATAAAAAAACAGCTTCCGCCATGACCGGGAAAGGAACAAAACAGGGAAATGAACATTTTTACCAGCAGACATGGAATCCACAAAAGATTTCCTCTTGAAACCATTTTGTAAAGAAGAGCTGTGTTTGAGCAGAAGACACCATCTCCCTGAGATGTGATTTGTTGCGTTGTATCATCCACAAGTGCAAGTCACCATCTGTAAACAAAAATTATAATAATAATAACTTAAGTGCAAATATAATTGATCTAAACAGTTTAAAGCACTGAGAGCAGCCTTCAGTGAAACTTCCTCTGATCAAAGTGAAAAACTATAGTACACTATGATCTTAGAGGAAAAATTTTACACACAAGGTTTATAATTACACACAGTATTTGCTTCTGTGTGTGTTCTGCTGTCTACTTGTGGTGAAGTAGGGGCCCAAAACCTATCTTGCTTCGGGCCCCCAAATGTCTAGGTCCGGCCCTGTTTAGTTTGACCAGAAGGTGGTATTCTTTCAAAGAATGCTGGAGCCTTTAATTCTAATTTGTTTTATGTTTTTCACATTTTATTTCTGTATTTTTTAGTGTTTGTAACAATAATTTTATTACAGTCACTGCTGAGTGAGATTTTAATTCTGTAGTTTGACCTCTGGATTTACAGCCAGGCTGTTAAACTTTGAACTGCATTTTTTTTATTATCTTTATTTAACCAGGCAAGTCCCACTGCGATAACAGAGCTGTTTTTCAAGAAGGTCCTGCACCAATTTATTAGTAGAAGTTAGTTTCACATTCATTTACTGCTTATCTTTCAGATATAGCATACATACTGCCTGCCTTGTTATTTTGTTCACAGCTCAGACTTTTTTCTTTCACTTGCATTTTAGATGACTGCTCCTGTCAGATTTGCAGAGGTTTTATTATAACAGGCCTAACAACATTTTCTTCATAATGACCTTCAGGAATTAAGTGTCTGTCACAGGATCAGGGATAAAGGTTACATGATAGTTGTGTACAGAGAACACTGTTTCTGGACTGATGTGTTTGCACAACAGAACAGCCTGAAGCTGTTTATAAATGTCAGTTACAAAACAAAACAAAGACAGGGTGGGTGTGTTTGTTTTGTCTTTTATTTTTTTAAAACATAAAGGTCGTTGTGCTGATTTCCACGTTAAGCCACTTTCTGTCTCTAAGTTCCATCAGTTGGTTTTAGTAATACTTACTAAAATGTCAGGCAGCTGCAAGTTTGAAAGATCTTTCTTCCATTTTGAGGCAGAACCACAAACAGCTGCTGCGGCTGAAAGGACTGGTTGATCTGTTTACAAATAAAAACCGTCTGAGGAGTCTGGATTTATCTGCTGCAACCTTTACTAGTTTTACAGGTTTCATAATAACTTATACTGTTGATATGAACAATAAGTATTCGGGTTTAAGAAGACAACGTTCTGCGCACTTACCTGATAAAACCGAGATCCACACAACAGGGAGTAGTTCAAGGACCCTCGGAAATTTGAGTTATTGTCCGATAAAGTAAATCCACACCTAGAACCTGTAATCAGGGAAACTTCATGTTGTGTTGCAGACAAGCTGCAAACTGAAAGCAACGACCTCCTGCCTACAGCAAGTAGACCTACTGCAGCAAAACATAAGGGGCGGGCTCGTACCCGAGCCTATGGAAATGGCGCAATTGCAAATTGGAAATACAGGGGACACTGTTTCCTATACTTGCAGCGGATTATTGTTTTTTTAATTGATCTTTATAGATTGTTGTTGTGTCTGCTGAGTGGTGAATAAATCCACATGCCCACCAGTCCACCGGGAGTTACTTCTGTTTTATTCAGCTTCCACATAACACCAGCACTTTTCTTTATTTATTTAACTCTGGCAAACAGCAACCGTTAGATGTACTTCCGGTATTAGCAACTCGGTATTTCAAAATGAGTCCGTTTTAATGCAGTCAGAGCCTGGTCCGTTAAAATTTATGAAGCAATAAATTTTCAACTAAACTATCTATTGGTTATTCCTCATTTTCAACACAATATTATCTGAATATTGGGCCTCATGCAAGAACCGTTCATACGCACAGATTTGTTCTTAAATTGTGCGTACGAGTGATTTAGGAGAATTTGTGACATTCACCAATGTTTTCGTATTCTACGATTTTTTTCAGATACGAACAAAATTTACGAGTGGTCCAGACCTGTCGTATATTTTACCAGCAGTGGGCCTCATGCAAGAACCGTTCATACGCACAGATTTGTTCTTAAATTGTGCGTACGAGTGATTTAGGAGAATTTGTGACATTCACCAATGTTTTCGTATTCTACGATTTTTTTCAGATACGAACAAAATTTACGAGTGGTCCAGACCTGTCGTATATTTTACGAGCAGCCAGTCTGCTGTTATCCAGACGGGTTTTCTTCACTAATAACTTTATATTTCGTGGAGACCTGTCCAGGTGTCTGTGGTGAACTGGAGACCTGTCCAGGTGTCTCTGGTGAACTGGAGACCTGTCCAGGTGT